AATCAAGTTTAATCTTTCAACATCCCCCCTTAAACTTGATTTGTGACTCCAAGCATACTCCTTAGCTTTATAAACGTTTCCAACTTGAGTGGCTTGGTGAAAATGTCGGCAGCTTGATCTCGAGACATCACATACTTCAACCTCACATCCTTCTTCTCGATGCATTCTCTTATAAAGTGGTAACGGGTGTCGATGTGTTTACTTCTTTCATGAAATACAGGATTCTTTGCCAAAGCAAGTGTTGATTTATTGTCAACACATATTTCCATAGGATCTTCTTGTGGCATTTTTAACTCTTTCAACAAGTTCCTTAGCCAAACTGCATGGCAAACACATGATGTAGCGGCAACATATTCAGCTTCACAAGTTGACAGTGTGACGATAGGTTGTTTCTTTGACATCCAAGTGAAAGCAATATCTCCCATAAAGAATACAAAACCAGTAGTGCTCTTTCTATCGTCCACGTCTCCACTCCAATCGCTATCACTATAGCCAACAATTTCATGATTGTTAGAAGAGTAATAGTGTAAGCCAAAGTTTGTTGTACCTTTGATATATCGAAGGATTCTCTTTTCCGCCTTGAAGTGAGTTGTTGTTGGAGCTTCCATGTAACGACTTACAACTCCTACAGCATAGAGAATATTCGACCTTGTACTTGTCAAGTAACATAGACTTCCAACCAAACTTTTGTAAAGAGTTGGATCCACAAACTCTCCACTTTCATGCTTACTCAACTTGCTGCCACATTCCATCGGGGTGCCAACCGGATTAGCATCATCCATCTTGAACTTCTTAAGGACTTCTTTTGCATAGCCTTCTTGGGTGATAAAACTTCCTTTGTCTTCTTGTTTTACTTCAATGCCAAGATAATATGCCATGAGCCCCATATCTGTCATCTCAAATTCATTTGACATGTCTTTCTTGAACTCTTCGAACATGCTTAGATTGTTCCCAGTGAATATCAAGTCATCAACATATAAGCACACGATCAAAATATTTCCACTTTGCGCTTTAATATAGAGTGCATGCTCATATGGACACTTGATGAAGTTCTTGCCTCGAAAGTACTTGTCGATTCGAACATTCCAAGCTCTCGGTGCTTGCTTGAGTCCGTACAACGCCTTTTTCAACTTAAGGACTTTTTCTTCTTGCCCTTTTACTTCATATCCTTGTGGTTGCTCGATATAAACTTCTTCTTCGAGAAAACCATTCAAGAAGGCCGACTTCACATCCATTTGATAGATCTTCCATTCATTCTGGGCTGCCAAAGAAATGATCAGTCTAATAGTTTCAAGACGAGAAACGGGGGCAAATACCTCATCATAGTCAATTCCTTGTCTTTGACTATAGCCTTTTGCCACCAGTCTTGCTTTGTATCTCTCCACGTCTCCTTCTGCATTCTTCTTCGCCTTGTACACCCATCTTACTCCGATTGCTTTGTGTCCTCGTGGAAGTGTAGTAATTTCCCATGTATCATTCTTCGTGATTGACTTTATTTCTTCATCCATGGCGTCTCTCCATTTTACATTTTCAACAGCTTCTTGATAGCTTAGAGGTTCGCAATCACCAAAAAGACAAAAGAGGTTAATGTCATTTTGGTTTTCGGTTACCTCATAAAGCTCTTCAATGCTCCTTAATCGTGGTGTCCTCTCACTTGAGCTTGTTTCATCCAACCTTGGTGTCGGTGAGGTAGGTGGTGTAATATGTTCATCTATCATTGGTTGTTCCATTTCATCTTCTTCTTCTTCAAAATAAGGAAGAAAATCATACCTGTCTTCTTGAATACTCCAATTCCAACAATCTTCTTCTTCGAACTCCACGTCACGACTTATGACAATCTTTCCACTATTTGGATTATAGAGCTTGTATCCTTTGGAGCTTGAGTCGTAACCCACAAATACATACTTCTCACTTTTATCATCGAGCTTTGTTCTCCTTTCATCTGGAACGTGGGTATATGCAATGCTTCCAAACACTTTGAGGTGAGAGATCCCTGGCTTCCTTCCACTCCATGCTTCTTGTGGTGTCTTGTCATGCACACTTCTTGTTGGAGAACGGTTTGTCAAGTAAACCGCACATGCTACTGCTTCGGCCCAAAACTCTTTCGGCATCTTCTTACTCTTAAGCATGCTTCGCACCATATTAAGTATGGTCTGGTTCTTTCTCTCCACTACTCCATTTTGTTGTGGCGATCTTGGAACTGTTAGTAAGCGGCGGATTCCATGCTCTTCACAATATTTTTTGAACTCATTTGAAGTAAACTCTCCTCCTCGGTCAGATCTCATAGCCTTAATAGAAAGACCACTTTCTTTCTCCACAAGGGCTTTGAACTTCTTAAAGTTTTCAAACACTTCTGATTTCTCCTTCAAGAAATAAACCCATGTTTTTCTAGAATAATCATCAATAAATAGGAGAAAGTATTTATTCTTACCAAAAGAGTTTGGATTGATTGGTCCACAGACATCAGTGTGTATGAGCTCTAGTGGTTTTGTCGCTCTCGATGTTGATTCCTTTGGAACGTTTTTCCGGAATTGCTTCCCAATTAGACATCCTTCACATAGTTGGTCTGGGTGGTTTATACTAGGCAAGCCTCTCACCATCTCCTTCTTTGACAAACATTCTAGACTACCGAAGTTGAGGTGTCCAAATCGTAGATGCCATAGCCAAGAAGAGTCGGTATAGCAAGCCTTGAGACACTTTGCCACATCATTTTGAATGTTCAAGAGGAACATTCTATTCTTTGACATAGGCACCTTAGCAATCAAGTTATGCCCACAATCTCTTAAGAAAAGACTATGTTCTTTCAAGTGGATGTCATATCCTTTCTCCAATAATTGTCCCAAGCTCAAAATATTATTTTTCATGTTAGGAACATAGTAGACATTGGATATGAATTGATGACTCTCATTCTTTGAGCGTATGAGAATTTTACCTTTGCCTTTGACCGGTATCTTTGAGTCATCTCCAAATGAGACATTTCCAGTTGTCGCTTTATTGATCTCTATGAACATGCTTCGATCGCCGCACATGTGGTTGCTTGCGCCGGTGTCGAGGTACCACTTGTTTCTTTTCTCTTCAAATTGGTTTTGGCACGCAAGCAGCAAAGTTTCTTCTTCTCCACCTTTTTCTTCTACAAAATTAGCTCTCTCCACAACCTTCTTTGAGAATCTACACTCAGATGCATAGTGACCGATTTTGTTGCAATTGAAGCACTTGATTTGTAACTTGTTGCACCTTGACCATGAATTTCCATTGCCACGGCCTCTTGTTGCTTGTGGATTCCAACTTCTCTCTCCATTGTTGAAGTTGTTGGAGTAGTTATTGTAACTTCCTCTTCTTTCTCCTTCATGTCCTCGTCCACGTCCACGTCCACGGTCTTGGCCACGACCTCGTCCTCTTTGACTCTTGTAACTCACATAGTTTGCTTCCTTTGCATTGAGTTGTAATAGTTGTTCCATAGTCTCCTTTTGTTTAGTTTTTCTCTTTTGTTTTTCTTCGTATGCTTGTAAGGAACCCATAAGTTGCTCAATAGTCATGGTGTTTAAATCCTTGTTTTCTTCAATGTTGGTAACAATGAAGTCAAAACTTGGATTTAAAGTGCGAAGTATTTTTTCCATGACTTTCACCTCATCAACATCTTCACCATTTCTTTTAAGTTGATTGACTACGGACAATACTCGAGAAAAATAATCAGAAATTGACTCAGACTTTTCCATAAATAAACGTTCAAACTCACCTCTAAGAGTTTGAAGACGAATCTTTTTCACTTGCTCCACTCCTTTGTTGCAAGTTTGAAGCTTGTCTCATGCTTTTTTCGTCGTCGTTGCATTGGAGATCTTCTCAAATGTATCTTCATCCACCGATTGATAAATGAGGAAGAGAGCTTGCTTGTCTCTCTTTCTTGACTCATTTAATGTCTCCTTTACACTTTGGCTTAAGGAGGCTTCATCTTGCTCCTTAAAGCCTTTCTCAACGATATCCCACACATCTTGAGCTCCTAGTAGCGCCTTCATCTTGATACTCCAATTGTCATAGTTGTTCTTTGTGAGCATCGGCATTTGAAAAGGGAAACCTCCACTCGCCATCTTTTGAGTACCTTCAAGCTCTAATGCCACTTTGTTGAAAATAAGACCTTTTGTGTTTAGGAAAAATGTGTGGGAATATTAGAGGCTTAAAGAGAAACTTGGTAGGTGAAAGAATTATTTATGGAAGAGAGAACTTTGTATTTTGCTTGATGCAAAAGTGTAGAATTACATCTCTATTTATAGTACTCTAAGGAGAACTCTAGACACACTAATTCTAGAGAGTTCTCAACTCTAGGAATTCCAAGAGTATTCTAGAGAATACTACAACCTTAAGAAATATCTAGACACTCCAAACATTGCAAGAGTTTTCTAGAAATATTAATTAAAATTACCTAAGTCCAAAACAACTAAACCCAAAAATTCAAATAATATTTTAGGTCCAAATCAAGTTTAATCTTTCAACACCTTTTATATATAATCTTCAATTTGGAACATATTCTAACTTGCAATCAAAACTCTTAACTTCTTAAATCAAGTCCATTTCTTGTATTATTACTCTTTCCATTCACTATATGCAAATGTTGCATCAAGTTAACACATAATAAGAACAAACTCTAGAAGAATCTCTTATCTATTGATGCATCCCACTGCCACAACACATGCACTCAATTCTTGTCCTTGATGCTAAACTTCTCTTTAATATTACCTGTCAGAAACTTACCTATCTATGAAAAAATTGTAAACCAAGCAATATCCATAACTTACTCACACAGCAACAGAAACTTATAGATAAAATTAAATACATTCATTAGGTTTTTCTTACCACACTTCTGCTAAATTCAACACAATAAGCTAGATATGTAGAGTTTGGAACCAACTTAAGTTTAAAGCAATAATATTACAAACTAAATTAACAAGTACTTAGCTAGATGATTACAAACTAATCTTGGTTCCATTAATTAATCTACTAATTAATCAAGCGAGGCGCAAATCGTCGTTTTTAAAGGCTTCTCCTCCTCCTCCATGGTGGTGAGGAATATTCATATGAGAATGGTGTTGACAGAATGCATACAAGGTGGAAGCACCGTTGGCCAATGCAACTGCTGATTCCTCATCTCCTTCATCATGGAAAAGAAATTGTGGATGGATCACACACTTTTCCTTCTTGTTGTTATTCCATTCACAAAAAGTGAAACAAAAAAATCATTAAAAATCAGCAGAAATAATCAACTTTTTTGGATTAAGAGAAAAAGTTCTTACTAGCTCAAGAAGAAGGTTTCCATTCATCTGCTCCAAGCTTCTAACCTGCATATTAGTTAACATGTTTCAACAAATTCATAAGACCAAACACAAAACCTAAAACTGGATCATAGATTTGAAGAAAAACATTGCTAAACTGAAATATTTCTTACCTTTTTCCTACATGTATCAGTCCTAGTTTTGATCACATGAAACTGTGAAACGAAAAGCAAGAGAAAAACATAGCAATGATATCAAATTTCATACCTAAGTAAAGTGTTATAAAGTTTAACAAACTTCAATTTTTCAAGATCCATAAGATTGAAGATTATTATTATACCTTCCTCTCGCGTATTTTCGCAATGGAAGAAACCATATCTTCTTCAAGACTTCTCAGTTGCTGGAAACTCAGATCATCCAATTCCAAACCACCTTCACCTATTCTATGCCTTTTCAAATTCACAAGATTTCTCATAAATCAAAAGTAGCAACAAAAAAAAACATTAATCAATAGTATATAGCTGCATGAATCATTAATTTACCTGATCTGTCTTCTAAGTTTATTGTTAATATCCTTCAGTTTCTTCAAGTTCTCAAGCATTTTCTGCAACCACACAAAATTTTCACAATATCGAAAACTTGAAAAAACAAATCACAAAGCACAAAATCTTTACCTCATAGTGAGAACGCCACAGATCAATATCCCCCAAAGTCTTCTGATACTGATCAATGATCTTCTTTGTACTGATTCAAAACTCACAAAAATTATATAAATATCTAAAAAAAGTTCATATATATAATCCACAAAAGAGAGTAAACATGAGAAACATACGAAAGTCCAGGTGTGATGTATTCATGCATCTTGTTGTTTTTGGAGAACATGATGAGTGAGACCTTAGCATCACAAAGAACACTAAGTTCATGAGCTTTCTTGAATATACCATTCCTTCTCTTTGAGTATGTCACTTGCCTGTTTGTTGGATTCTCAATCAACTTTATCTCTATCTTCCCACGACCCATTTTCAATGACCTTGTACTTGCTATGTTTCTTCTCTTCTCTTCACTACTTTTCTCTTTCCTTTTCCAAAGAGAGAGACTATAGAACTAGAATGCAATGAAAGTAAAGACTAAAGAGAGTCATTATTATTATTATTATTATCAGAAGTAGTACTATATTACTGAGTGGTGTGACTCGTAAACATTATTATAAAAAAGAAAAAAAAAAAGAAGGGTTTCTTAAAATGGAAATGTAGTGTATGCTGAGAAAGGAAAAGTAGGATTGGAATGTAACTGTAAATAGATTCTAAATTGGTGTGAAAGTGAAAGTAGTGTGTGATATGAAGCAAACTCCAAGACTGTTATTATTGGACAGCTGCCACAATCTAATTACTACTTCCTATCTACCTCTATTTATTAGGCCAAGTACACTGTACAATAACCTTCATCATATCATATATGATTTACTAGTTTGTTTACATGTTAACTAAGTGTTGTTTTGATTAGTCTTTATATGTGTTAGGTTGCTTGCACTTGCACCCTTGGAGGATACACACTGTCATGATTGTTATATGTAGCATAAATCAAGGTTTAGATGGTGCATGCATGCTTATGTTTGGATAATTATGTTGGTTAAAGTGCTATAATCATGGTTTGCTTGAATTGATTGTGTACTTGAGGTTGAGGGCTATTTGTTTTGTTTGTTTGTCGTTATTCATTTACTCAAAGAAACTAACTACTGTTTGGGTTAATGTCTGCTTTGTTTCAGTCATGATGATGATGACAGTCTCCACTGGATGTTTTATTTACTCCAAACATAGTATCATACATTAGTCATCAACAATGTGATTTTATGAGTTAGTGAGATTTACTTGTGATGATGAATTATTGAATTAGTGTGACTCATTTATCACTAGCGTCTATCTATCTCAGAGATGGACATGAAATGAAGGTGAATAAATGAAGCAAACCGATATTATTAGAGGATTTTTTATGGTGAAACTCAATAAAACACATTAGATTTTATACGCTACTGTATTGATCTCTAGCATTTCAATATATATTTATGCATGAGCCGTCTCAAGTTTTTAGAGGTCATGTGTAGGTAATTATAATTTAATTTGACAAATATTTTATGAGATCTTGTTTCAAGTTTTTGGAGGTTCAGTGTAAGTTAACCATAATTTAACTTGACAAATATTTTATGAGATCCTTTTTAACTATAGTTTAATCTTAAAAAATTTAAGGTCTTGTGCAGTAGTCTGTCTTGCACGCTTTTAAAGAAAACCGTGATGCAACACATTCATGTTTTGCTCTAATGATAACAAATTATGCAACTCTTAAGTAACTCATATTTTTATTAATAAAATTTGTGGCTTTATGTGTTGTGCAGATAAATGTTTTTTTAAAGGTTTTAACGACAATTGAACAAGAATGGATAAAACTCAAGCATCAATAATCAAAAAGCAAGTACAAGACAAGGTGTTTAAAGTTTCAGTTAAAAAAACTAAACAAAATTAAATTAAGTAATAAGAAGTTGTGAAGTTGTAAAAGCGTCTTGCAGTACTAAAAGGATACACACATACATCAAAAGTATTTCAAACTCTTCATATTTTAAATAAATAAAAAAATGTAAAACCAATTCGGACAAACACTTAAAAGATTAAGAAGCTTTCTAATAAATTAGGAAAGCAAAACTCAATTGTTCAATCAATTAGCTTCTTCATCTAATACATTAAAGAACGAATAATGTCTCATAATCAATTAAGTAATTTTATTAATCAATTAAGTAACGTTGTAAATTAGAGTGTCCAGTGAATTTTGTGATTTTGGAATTAACTGGTCAAAGAAACGTGCTAACATAATTCATCTTAGCCCTGTACATTTACACTTCTAACAAACTATTTGGTGATTAAATATTTCACCTTCTTTGAAGGCTTAGTGACTTTTTTTCCTCTTGACACTTCAACTTCAACTTTCTGCACCTCTGTTTTCACTATTAGGCCTTGTAACAACTATTCCTTGGGCTTATTCGTATCAGTGTCTTTTTTTGGCTTAATCTAATATGTTGATGTTCTAATTGATTAGGAAACAACCATATCCATGGATTGTTGCATTTTTTAAGAAATTTTTTTCGTATATAAAGGAATGTTTTTCCCACACTTCTAAACATTCCAATTTTCTGAATAATCAACTTTTTGTCTCACTCTTTCAACTTCTTTTATACGTTTTACTCATTAGAAATTTTCTTAGTATTGAAAGAATGAAAAGCTTTGTCTGAAAGTTGTGGTGTTCTACTAATGTGCTAAATTTAATTATTCAAGAGCTTAGTTCTCTTGTGATCTTGTAATAGATTTTAAGATTGCAAGATAAATCTGTAAAAAGCTTAGTGTAAGATTGTTTGGTTGAATCTGTGTAAAAGTTCAAGTTGTCGTGTATGGTTGTTGGGTTGAACCTGTGTAAAAGCTCAAGTTGTTATTAGTGAAAAGTTCAATAAAAACTCTTGAAGAATGGTGTAAGTCGTGTGGTTTAAGGTGAACTAAGATAACATCTAGTGTGATATTTCTTATAATATCTCTTTATTTATCTGTTATTTATTTTTTTCCACTCCTTATTCCTACTTTTTATCATCTTCTTAATATAAATCTTTTTTAAAATTAATTGTTTTTCTAAAATGTTTTTGAAATCCGAATATCACAAACTCCTCTCTTGTATTGTATTGGATGTCACTTATTCAATAAAAACTAACCATATTAAATGTATGATACGATAGCTTAATTAAGATACTTCAATCATTTATTTATTATCCATTGTGGCACATCATTATCCTTCTAATAAATAAATAAAAATGTTCGATCATTCTATAAAATCCACTTAAATAATCCCATTGAATTCTATTGGAGATGCTCTTATATAGATAATATAAGATCGATTCCATGGATAGAAGGGGAGAGTTAAAGAGAAAGGTGATACGAAGGTCAAAATTTGAACTAAACATGCAACCTAATAGAAACATTTAAATTTCATGTTGAAATTGTATCTATGTATATTTGTTTTATATTAAATGAGATCACACACGATGTCTATTTATAATTGTGTAAGTTTTATATAGTAAATTAGTATAACCAATATAATAAATACAATATCAATTCTAAGCAATTCATCTATATATTATTAGAATTGTAATCTTAACAAAAACTCTTTCAAGTTGCATATCAGTCGTATGAGTTGAGCTTCATACAATTGCAATCTATTCGAGAATCTTTGAGTGATTTAGTGAACATATTTTTCTATTAGTTTTCAGACTTGACAAAATTTGTGTTGATTTCTCTTAAAAGTATATTACCATTTACTTGATGAAAATCATTCTCTATATGTATTTTGTTTGTTCATGAAAAACCAAAGCAAATGCAATAGAGTGCAACTTGATTGTTACATATGATTTTTGTTGTTTGGTGTTTTCCTAGTCTTAGCTATAAGAGTAGATTTCTAATTGAATGATACAATCTCCATTAAGGATGATTTCATATGAAGTTATTTGGCTAGCTCGCACTATATATGGTAATCAAGATTTATTTTTTAGTTCTCCATGAGATTATGTTTCCTCCAATAAAATACTACTGCAAAAAATACATTTAATCTCGGTTGAATATGATGTGTTACATCAGTTTCATATGCGAGATAACGAAGGACATCATAAAAAGTGTGTTATATTATCTCTCGGTTGGTATTATACCAACGAAAAAGATGTAATGGTCATGTATTCGATCCCCAACGATAATTTTTTTGAAATTTTTAAATGGCGATAACATATTTTTTCTTGGTTTTGACATTTAACACACGAGTAAAACACAATTGAGTTTATTATATCTAAAGTGGATTGCTTATTTCACCAAACCCTAAATGAACATATAACTTTTTAAATTAATTTTCAAAATAATTTTATGAACAATCTATTATAATATATTAAAATCTCGCACATCACACGAGTCTTAATCTAGTTATATTATATTTGAAGAACAACTTACATTAAACAATGATTTCGAGCATATTGTAACTCATTATTCATCTCTCATTCTTTAATAATTTGAATCTCGTTCAATTTTCATGTTCTTTAATGAAGAACAACTATAAGCACTAAGAGAGATTTTAATTATTAAAGAACGTGAGATGAATGATGAGTTGTAAAATACTCGAAAATTGTTAATTAGTGTAAGATGTTTTTCAAATATAACATCATTTTTTATATTATTATTTTTAAGATTAATCTAATAGGTTAAATGTTCAAGGAAGGGTTAGTGAAACAAACAAAAGACATTATATATAATATACTTAACTGTATTTTTTGTCACTCTAATATCCTTTTGACATGTTCGGCGGAACAAGATAAAAGTTGTATAAAGAATCACAAAAACATAATTTAAATCTCAAATTTAAACTCAATAACAACAACTAAAAAAATAACATATAGCTTTCAAAACATTGATGGGCAGAACAACTAAACAACAACAACAATAATAACATCAACAACTCAAAAACAACAATAAACAACAACAACAAAATTAACATTCAATCTCAATCTAAAAAACAACAACAACAACAAAATTAACATTCAATCTCAATCAAAAAATAACAACATTAAACAACAACTAAAAAAATAATCTCTCAACAAAACTACATCAACATCAACAATAAACTTATAACATACATATTTCATCAAAAAACAACGCCTGACATGCAATCTCAGTTTAAACAACAATATGATTAAACCTTTAACATTTAGGATCTCAACAACAACAACAACAACAACAACAAAAACAACAAAAATAATGACAACATCAACAAAAAGGACAACAGAAACGACAACAATGAAAATAGCAACGACAACGGCATCGAAAACGATAATGACAACGACAACAAAAACAACAACAATAACAACAACAACAACAACAACAACAACAACAACAACAACAATAACAACAACAACAACAACAACAACAACAACAACAACAACAACAACAACA